GAAAATAAGACGTGTAGTTCGCCGCCAGCATTAAAAGTTCTTTGAACTGATTTTCTTAATTTCCTCGTAATTATCTCACTTGCTATACCACCACCCTTGAATTTCTCTAATCCTCATTATCTTTTTATGCCTTCTTCCTCCTTATTTTCAGGGGGATTATCGTGTTGACAGAGAAGCTTCTCAAACAATGCTCAATTGTCTGATGTATAAATTAAGCTATTATCGTTTCGGTGAAGTTCGCTTAGATATGCATACACCAAGTGGTTATGATAGAACAAGAGGTGTAGAAATTGGTCGTAAAAATTTCGACTTAGATTTTCTCGAAGAAGCTTTTACATCGAAACATTGGCTTGTAAGGATATATCGTGTTCTACCGCCTGAGAATTTACCACATCTGTCGAATACACGTCGACGGATACGTTATCGTCCTTCAGGGAAAAGTGGTTCAACTACTCGTGGTCGATTAAATAGTAATGTTGTTACGTCGTCTAGCAGTAATAAACGTTCCTCTAAAACTTCTAGATAAGGCGAGTGTTTCCTGGTAAGTTCTATATGATTATTTATTATTACTATTTAAAAAGATTTTTATTCCTTTACGTTCCCAGCAGTGGAACATAGGGTTTCAAGCTAGAGGCTTGAAGTTTTGGTAACAGTGGTGTTTATTTTTACTGGATAGGAGGTTGCAAGCCACGCCCTCATGCCCAACCTTCCCTCTTTATCAGTCTTATTACTGGCTTAGCGAGGTAAAGGAGGAGTGCGTCTGTTGGCCCGGGGATCAAACTCCGAACCACGTGTGGCATGGTTGGTGAGCATTCTACCGTTTTGCCACCGACGCACACTAATCTACTCACTCATGTTTCCCTTTTTCTGTTGTTGCTCTAAGTTATTCGAGGTTTAGACTCCTACTACTATTACTAAGTGTTTAGAGGCGGGCTCTGTCTCTAGCTTTTAAATGGTGTGTACTCATTTTTGATATAAGAATAAAACTTGTGCACTGTGGTAGAGTGTAATTCCATTATGGGTAAATCTTGTTTTGATAAAGTCTCACAGTGTTATACAGTAATGTTTACTGATGACGTTTCGAGCACAATTTATTGCTCATAATCATATCAAGGTAATCACACGACTTCCTAAATTCATTTATATAGTTCCATTGTTTTTCACTTGATTTTCACTTGATTTGATTGGTAGTAGTATTTTCCATATTTCGGGTATGAGTGATGAATAATAATAACATAAATAAGAGAGAATATAAGTCATCTACAGTTATACCATATAAAGAGGGGACACCTGAGACCCTACGTAGGATTCTAAATAAAGCAGGAATTAGGCTGATGTCATTCAAACCTACAAACTCACTCAGATAGGACCCAGTTGACCCAATTTATTATTATTATTATTATTTCCTTTAGTTCCTAGAGGAACATAGGGCTTCAGCCATGCGTCTCCATTGCGTTCGATTCTCTGCTAGAGTTTTCACCTGGCTCCAGGTCTGCCCACATGCTTTCATCTCCTCTTCACATGATCTCCTCCAGGTCACCCTTGGACGACCAACTCGTCGCTTCCCTTTCGGGTTCCACTCGAGGGCTTGTCTAGTGATGTCACTTGCTGGTTTCCTCAGAGTGTGGCCAATCCATCTCCATTTTTTCCTGCCTATTTGTTTCACAATGGGTTCCTGGTTGGTTCGCTCCCAGAGATCTTTGTTGCTGATCCTTTCCGGCCATCTGATCTTGAGTATTGAGCGAAGACATCTGTTAATGAAGGTCTGTAGCTTGTTTGAGGTGCTCTTTGTGACACGCCAAGTCTCTGATCCGTATAGCAGTACTGACTTCACATTGGAGTTGAAAATCCCGATCTTATTTTTGACGCTGAATGATGTTGTCCTCCACACAGACTTCAGAGTAATGAAAGCTTGCCTTGCTTTCCCGATCCTTGCTTTGATATCCTCGTCAGTTCCGCCTGTAGTTGAAACAATGCTTCCCAAGTAGGTAAAGGAGGTAGTTTCTTTCAGGTTTTTTCCATTTATGCTGATTGCTGTCTGTTGTTGTTGTTGGTGTTGGCCAGGGATCTTCATCACCTCTGTTTTTTCTATGTTCACCTGGAGTCCTATTTTTGATGCTTCTTCTGCTAACTTGTTACTTTTCACTTGCATATCTTCCAGTTTGTGGGAAATCAGGCATATATCATCGGCGAAGTCCAGATCCTCCAAGTTCTTTGTGTGAGTCCATTTTATGCCTGTTTCCTCATTGCCCGCTGTTTGTCGCATTATCCAGTCTACTGCAATCAGGAAAATCATTGGCGATAGTAGGCAACCCTGTCTTACTCCTGTCTTCACTTCGAAGGATTCCGTGAGCTTCCCGTTGTGGATTACTTGGCATGCAGCGTTGTCATACAACTGTTGGATGAGATGTATAATTGTCGGCGGCACCCCGTAGTAGCGAAGTAGTTGCCAAATCACCTCTCGATCGACGCTGTCGAAGGCCTTTTCAAAGTCGATGAAGTTGAGATAGAGAGGTGACTGCCATTCCAAACTTTGTTCAATGATGATCCGTAGTGTGGCGATTTGATCAATACATGACTTGTTACTCCTGAATCCAGCTTGTTCTGGTCGAAGTTTTTCATCCAAGGCTTGTTTGATCCTTTCCAGGATGATGCGGCTTAGTATTTTGCTTGGGATGGAAAGGAGCATAATTCCGCGCCAGTTCTTGCATTGACTTAAGTCTCCTTTCTTTGGTAGTTTGAATAGGTATCCTTTCTTCCAATCCTCGGGTACTTTGCCTTCTTTCCACACCTTCTCCAGTAGTGGCGTCATCAGGTCTGCTGTTGTCTCTGGGTCGACTTTCAATGCTTCTGCTGGGATTCCATCTGGTCCTGCTGCTTTCCCAGCTTTCAGCATCTTGATTGCCTTCAGGACTTCTGATTTCGTCGGGGGGTTGATGTTCACTGGTAATTCTGCTTCCGTTGTTGGTATTGTTGGGCGCGTTGTAGGTGGCGGTCGGTTTAGTAGTCTTTTGAAGTGTTCAGCCCAGTGTTTCCTTTGCTCCACTTCTTTGGTGATTGACTTTCCATTTTCATCCTTCACTGGCTTAATTTGTGACGAATTTTTGCCTGAAAGGTATCTAGTTGTTTGGTGAAGTGTTGCGAGGTCTCCTTTGCCTGCAGCTTGTTCTGCTTCACTTGCCATGGCTTCATAATACTTTCTTTTGTCTTCTCTGGCACTCTTCTTTACTCCTTTGTTCAGTGTATTGTAGCTTACATTCAACTCCTGTTTCTGTTGCTCGTCGGTGCACTGCAGAATTTTTTGTTTCACCATCCTTCTCTCCTCTATTAGCCTCCAAGTGTCCGTAGTGAGCCACGGTTTGTCCTGTCTTTTCTTTCTGCCCAGAACTTCCATGCAGGTTTCGCTCCATACTGTTTTCAGGTTGTTCCAGTGTTTTTCGACGCTGACCTCTTCACCAGTGTTGATTTGTGTCTCGGCTTTGTCCTTTATACTTGCAGTAAAGATATCCTTTGTATCCTGGTCCTTTAGTTTTTGAGTGTTGAACTTGGCTTGTGGTCTATCTGTAGCTCCTGTTTCTCTGAAAGCCTTTAATTTGAGTTGGATTGTTCCTTGTACGAGGTAGTGGTCTGAGCCAACGTCTGCCCCTCTTCTTGCTTTTGTGTCCAGTAGGCTGCGCCGCCACTTCCTCGAGATTGTGATGAAGTCGATTTGGTTTTTGGTTCGCCCATCTGGTGACACCCATGTAGCCTTGTGAATATCCTTGTGTTTGTATACGCTGCCACCAATCACTAGTTCATTGAAGGCGCAGAAGTCGGCGAAGAGTTCTCCATTTTCATTCATCTCTCCCAGAGCTTCTTTACCCATGATGAGTTCCCTTCCTGTGTTGTCTGGTCCCAGTTTGGCGTTCATGTCTCCCATTAGTATTTTGATGTCACCGGCTGGAGTATTGTCTATTGCTGCCTGCAGTTGTCTGTAGAATTCTTCTTTCTTTTCGAGGTCTGCGTTGTTGGTCGGTGCATAGCATTGTATAATTGACACTTTCCTTCCTTTGGAGTTGAATCTGGCTGTTATTATCCTGGGTGAGATCGCCTCCCATTGTATCAGAGCCTTGGTTGCCGTTGGTGACATCATTATAGCCACGCCCTCGGTGTGTGTGTGGTTGTCTTCTGGGTGACCGGAGTAAATCACTGACTCACCTGTTGACAATTTGGTGAGTCCGTATCCGTTCCATCTGCTTTCGCAGATCCCCAATACTTGTAGTCCGTATCTCCTCATTTCGCTTGCGATCTGGGCAGCTTTGCTAGTCTCGTTGACCCAATTAGACAAAATAATATAATTTAAAAAATATCCTGCAATGACTGTGAGGTCAACTACATAGGTCAAACTAGTAGGTCAGGGGAAGTCAGATTGTCAGAACATAAGAATTTAGCTAAGGTAAGAATGGTTGACCCCGAGGAGATAAGTTATTTAGAAAAAAGCTCAGCAAATGCAATGCATGCATTAACACACAACCACACAATAGGGTGGGAGAGGGTTAAAATTCTAAAAAGTAATCTAAGTAGGTGGAGAGAGAGGTTGATTACTGAATCCTTGTTCATCGAGTCTACACCCAACACATCCCATAGGAACGACTCATCACTCATATCCTGAAATATGGGAAAATATTACTACCAATCAAATCAAGTGAAAATCAAGTGAAAAACAATGGAACTATATAAATGAATTTAGGAAGTCGTGTGATTACCTTGATATGATTATGAGCAATAAATTGTGCTCGAAACGTCATCAGTAAATATTACTGTATAACACTGTGAGACTTTATCAAAACAAAATTTACCCATAATGGAATTATAGTCAGTTTTCCCTTAGAGCATAACATTTATAGCCTCCATGATTGACTGACTGAGTAGAAATGTAAGGGAGAAAGAATAGTAATGTGGAAAAAACCCTGATGGTTTAAAGAATCCGAGAGATTACAGGGAGTGAACATACAACCTGCACCATTGGCAACGATTTTGTGACCCCCTAATCACCAATAGTCTTCAGCCATTCATTGGTTCTTAGTCGTCGTGAATAGAATTCTTCCATGCTACTACGATTCTTTTGCCTCACATTTGTGTTTCTTATCTCTGTACTCCCTTCTCTTACTTTGTGTGCTACAAGGAGGGTGTGTGGCAACTGGAACTGCTGGACATGCCTGCAAAGCTCTACGTTGAAACCAGTCAGGCACCAAAGTGCTTGTATAACACATGTGCTTCAATGGTTCAGTGGTACAATACTCTCCAACCAAACAAATATAGTCTGGGTTCGACTCCTGGTCAGTAGACGCACTCTTATAAACCTCGCCTATCGCATAGTAATGCCGATAAACACGAACGGAGGTATTGAAGTATTGGTTTGTAGGGATTTGATTGATTGGTTGATTGGTTACAGGATTTCATCATGAGCTGACATTAGTTAGAGGACCATTGGAAAAACTGCAGGGAGTACTGGACAGCAGTTTCATCAGCCTAGTTTGGAACTCTTCATCAGTACACACC